ACTCGCTTTGGCGACGCTTCCATCCACGCCTCGTCACACGCCCTATCGTTTGCAAGGATCATGAAATACTGGTTATGGTAGCGAACATACCTCATCAGATAAAAAGGCTCCTATGGTCCGTGCAATGGAATCCCGCTCACTGTGATAGTTTTCCGAGGGACTGAGCAGAATGAAGATGAATCGAACTGGCACTGGCAAATCCGGGAGAATTGGATAGAGCTTCTGTGAAAAATCTCAGTTTGATCAGAGCAACTTTGAGTTCTTGTTTTATTACAACTGCTATTACATTACTCTATTGGATGTCTGTCACGAGACCATCAAGTTATGGACAAAACTGGAACTACGAAATTGGATCTGGAACGAGACTGGTAGCACAGAAAACACGGCAGGTTCAGTTGTAAGAGGGGGCTAAACCATTACAATGCTTTACCTTTACCTTTTACCGCTGAGTACCTCCACCTAGGATCGCAAAGGTCAGTCATAGAAGCTAGCTTGTGAGCAAGTTAGTGTTGGCGGGTCTGAAACTGAACTGTTAGGGATAGGGAATACCTAACATCCGAAAATTCAGTTTCCGATTCCATGCTTGGTTCTCATCCAGGAGTGACGTTTTCCCTAGCGTCATCCGCCACTGAAGTTATCACCGAGTTTATGGTTAGTTACCCAAGGCAGAGGTCCCCTGCAGGTGGTCAAGAGCTAGCTCTTTCGTCGATTTCTTCTATTCTTCTAGCAAAATTCCGGCTGGAGAACTTCCTACCTATCTTAACGATTGCCTGTTCCCTCAGTTTAGCCTTAGGTAAGATCGCATTTTTTATTCGATTTCGCATAACTTAAGTGTTGTAGAAGCGCACCTGTGCGTGCATAAATAAATAAAATTAATAAATAAATCAGTGTGCTAAGGTTTTGAGCTGTGCTGCGAGGGTCTGTCTCCTCATTTCTCAATGCTGACCAGATTTCTGCAATCTGAGTAATCTTAAAATCAAACTCAGTAACCTTCTAAGAACGAGAAGCGGAGGCTACACTATTCCCTTATTACGACTCCAAGGACGTAGAAAAATTTTGCAGGTGAAAGTTTTCCGACTCTGTGCCCTGATCATAAATCAGACATCCATTTCGGGCGATAGCGTCATTTGGTGCCACCACTTTTCTCCCCAAATTCTCTGCAAACCTGTAGTTGGGTAATCGAGGGCTCACAAATATGATATTGATTCTTGACTTTGACGCCACTTGGTGCTACATCCTTTCCGCCAAAAATTATATAAACTTGTACTAGGGTTTTTTGGCACCCTGTGATTACGAATATGCCATTCATTTCCAGCGCTAGTGCGGGCACTTTGATCATTCGCGCTCTGCTAATTAGAAGTAGATAAGTAATAAATAAGTGAGAATAAGTAATAAGTACCTATACCTATGGTCACTTTTTGATGTCAGTTTCTAAATCAAAATCAGAAAAGTCGGCATATTCATCTGTTTCTTTTGGAATAATTATAAACGCTCTACCTGTGCCACTTTCAATCGTACGAAAGCCGAAACAGGTCGATCCAGACAGGACACGTAGCCGGTCAGAATAGCTGCCCCTTCCGTGTTTGTTGGTAGCTTCTTCAGAATTCTCCGATTAGCCTGAAATATTTAGAAAGTACTGCTCAGCTGCCTGAAGTGATTTGTTCCGATATTTCAGTAATTTTGCCTTGACTTACTCCCGGTCTGTTGACGTGCATAGTTCCCTCCCGTTTCTGAAGGGCAAAAAAAAGTGTAAAAATTGTCTCAAGTAACTGCCGACAAATGTTTAAAAGGCACAATCCATGATTAGCTGTCCTAATGGGTAGTCGGTTTCGACCATAGAGGCCATAGCACTTCTGCATCAGGATGCGCCGCGCGCTGGGGAACCCTCAGCGGGGGGACGGTAGAATTTGATCCTAGAATTTATTCAAAAATTGGTTATTCGTCTTGCATCTGCGCTATCCGCAACGTCTGAAGTCTTCCACTAAGGACGAGGGTCGCATTTGCTTGTCGCTTTGATAGTTAAATAAAAAAGTAATGCAGTCATTAGATGGCAACCTCCCATCCCGGGGTAGACAGCTTTTTTGAAAGGCTGAAATTTTTTAGAAATGTAAAAGCAGTAGGTATGGAAGATTCAGTAAGATCAAGAGAAAAGGGTAGATAGGATAGGAAGAGGTGATGAAAACAGAAAAGGGAACTTGGAAAGATCGTATTTTGCATAAATTTTCCTCAGCGATGGGAAGTTTCTTGTCTGCGATCCAAGTGAGCGACAAGGATGTCAAAATCCTGTTATCAATCAACTGCTATCCACACCCGCGCACGATGA